AATTAAGACTGCCTCTTGGGCTCCAAGCCCCCAGTGCCGGGGGGCAAAACTGCACTTCCTGTTTTCTGTTTATTTTAACTTGTATTAACTTTTGATCTAACTGTGATTGTTTTATTACTTTAGTTTGATTGTTTTGTAGTTTTGATTGAAATCTGGTCACATTTTGTAAAAGGTTAAAGTGACTGTAAATGGATCAGGAGGCTGTCAACTTTGCTCACCTCATCTCCGGATGTCAGCGATGGCAGCAGACATTTATATTTCTCTTTTTCTGTTGTTGTCATTATGACAAAGTCATCTTCGCTGTAAAGTGCACCTGAGGTCGGCTGGAACGCAGAGACGAGAGAGTTTGTTAACGTTTGTTACAAAAGAAAAAAGTTTAAAGAAAACCCAAGCAGCAGATTTGAGTGACAGCCTGACAGGAAACGTGTTACTAAAAAAAAAAAAATAATAAAAAAAGAGAGAAGCATACCAGAGTTAATTCAGCGCCTGGCCAGGTGATTTTAAAAGGAATTTCGTCCGTAAAGGAAGAATAACCTCCTCTGTTTGCGGAGACGCCGCTGCACACCTCCAGCAGCCCTCCGGCAAAAAGCAACAGCAGCCCAGCCATCAGCTCTCCTGTCCGGCTGCTCAGCTCCTGCAGCCCGCTCCTCGTTCTCGGCAAAAGAAATCCTTTTCAGCTCCCACTCACATCTGTCAACACAGACGGCTCAAAAAATACTTCAAAAGTCCGGTCTGACACACGTATTTGCCTGTGAGAGGCGGATGTCAACACGTCCGTAGAAACAGGAAGTGAACTCTCCGGTTGCCACGTCGTGTTCCGGTCACGCGTCTGTCTGTAATGCCGCCCTCTGGTGGTCAGCTTTGTACATTACAGACATTTTGAATATTTTCAAAACTACAAAAACATTTTACTTTGAGATAAAAGTAACGCAGCAATAACATAATCTTGAAATAATTTTGAAAACCAAACATTAACCTCTCATTTTGATATAAATTTCCCATTATGTGTCCTAAAACTTTAAAAAGAAAATCTAATTAATTGATTGTTAAGTACTGTGGTTTTAATTTTAATATTGACAGCAAACAAATACAACACGTTAGAAGAATATTACTAAATGTTTATTGAACTCGTCATAGTTATTAGATAGTGAAATTCTCTGAAAGCATCATCTTTTATAGCTGTTGTATTGAAAACACAATTTCCTTTCCTGACAGACAAACAATAAAGAGTACAAATAAGATTTATTCCTGTCAGGTTTACTTGCATTTTGCAGCAAATCTTAAATAGCACTTATTAATTTTTTTTACYCATTTTTTGATGCTTCATTTCTACCGCTCATTGGATAAATTGGGAAATACAATTTTGTACTGGCCTTTTTTTTATCATGAGACAGGATATATTGCTATTATGTGCAGAGCTGAATAAGAAAAATAGAAAGCAATAAACATAATCCAATTGTGTGTATATATATA